CGAGCTGATCACGTACCCTGCAACCCTCTCCCTCACCCTGTCTTTAAAAACCTTTCCCTGAAAGCCATTGGGAGTTCGGGCCTTTTGAGCATTAGCCACCTGTACTCCTTGCTTGGCACCCTGCAATAAATGCTGCACTTTCCTTGACCACAACCTGCTGCCAATAAATTGATTTTACTGTGCACAGGTGAGTGGGCCCAATGGTATCCAGGAAATTTTGGTTTCCATTAGAGTGTTCTTCTTTACTTTTACTATTTCCCTCCCTAAATCTGGGTTTAGACTTCCCCAGAACTTCCATGTGTTGTGTAGCCTGTGTAGTTCTGTGTGTGATGTTTGTTGTGTTTTTAAAAATTTTTATTGGAGTATAGTTGATTTACAACGTTGTGTTACTTTCAGGCGTACAGCCAAGTGAATCAGTTATACATATGCCTTTATCCACTCTTTTTTTTTTTAGATTCTTTTACCATATAGGCCATTACAGAGTATTGAGTAGCATTCCCTGTGCTATACAGCAGGTTCTTGTTATCTATTTTATATATAGTAGTGTGTATATGTCAGTCCCAATCTCCCAATTTATCCCTCCCTCGCGCTTATCCCCTGGTAACCGTAAGTTTGTTTTCTACATCCATGACTCTACTTCTGCTTTGTAAGTAAGTTCATTTGTACCCTTTATTTTTTAAGATTCCACACATAAGTGATATCGTATAATATGTGACATGTGTCCGACTTACTTCACTCACTATGACAATCTCTAGGTCCATCCATGGTGCTGCAAATGGCATTATTTTGTTCTTTTTTATGGCTGAGTAATATTCCACTGTATCTATGTACCACATCTTCTTTATCCATTCCTCTGTTGATGGACATTTAGGTTGCTTCCTGTGTGTGATGTTTTTAGCGCTTGTTTGTGGAGACTATAGTAATATAGGGGCTATAGTGTGGGCTTGGGATCACAAGATGAAAATTTGGGTCACAAAGGAAGTGTGATAGATTTTCAATCCATGTGACTTAGGACACACAGGTTTCAGGAGACCCTGAACACATCACCCTTTTGTATAAAGTTGCTTCAGATCTTCTCAGAATAAAAACAAGTTCCTCTATGCATTAGTCACTGCCTATATCTGGAGCTTTTTGTCAACACACATACACACACATGCAGACACGGGTTCATGCATGCATACATGCACACATACACACATGTGCACACACATATGTGCACACGCGCGCGCACACACACTAACCACGCTACACACTAACACACACAGCTACACTCAGGACTTCCTTCAAGCCTGTATATGGTTGTCTCCTTTGCCTGCCCCACACCTCCCCCTGCCCCTCACCTGGCTGGCCCCCATGCCTACATCACCTCCTCTAAATCCTTTCCTGTCCCCCTGGGATGGGACCACTCAGTAGTCCAGCTCCCTGGTGCTGCCTGAGGGAGAGTTTACCACACTGTGTTCTATTCACTTGTTTACTAGTTTCTGGCTCAGGACCTGCCAGTTCAGTTCACTCTGAGATGTAAATAGTGGACATGACCTAAAGTGTGCCTCTCCCAGGAATTTACATAATAACAGCTCTGATGGGCTGGTTGTGGAATGAAGCCTTTGGCATGGTCACAAGGAAGGAGGAGGCATTTCAGGGATAAGACTTGGGAGGGGTGTCTATCAGAAGCTGATATCATTAGTATTATTAATGATAATTATGATAGCAGCATCCCATCATTATTTCTACCTGAGCCCTGCAGAATTTCAACCCAAGGCTCCCTGAGTAATGTTTGGAGTGTTTACTACTCATTCCGTAGGAAGCAGTCAATAGATGTGTGTAGTGTGTATATGTCAGTCCCAATCTCCCAATTTATCCCTCCCTCGCGCTTATCCCCTGGTAACCATAAGTTTGTTTTCTACATCCATGACTCTACTTCTGCTTTGTAAGTAAGTTCATTTGTACCCTTTATTTTTTAAGATTCCACACATAAGCGATATCATATAATATGTGACATGTGTCCGACTTACTTCACTCACTATGACAATCTCTAGGTCCATCCATGGTGCTGCAAATGGCATTATTTTGTTCTTTTTTATGGCTGAGTAATATTCCACTGTATCTATGTACCACATCTTCTTTATCCATTCCTCTGTTGATGGACATTTAGGTTGCTTCCTGTGTGTGATGTTTTTAGCGCTTTAGTTGGCTTTTGTTCATAATGTCTGGTGTCCCCACCCACACCATATGTCTTTAAAGGGTAGGGACTGTGTCTTCTAAATCTCTTGTATCCTCTTCCTCTCCGAAGCATTCATATAGAATTGACATACATTAAAGCTCCAAATGTGTTTCTACTTAAATAGAGAACATGTTCAACTCATCTTTGTTGGCCCTTCCCTTGTGAAATGTGCCTGCCACCCACCCAGGCACACCCAGGTTTCCTCCCACTCCTGGCCCTGCTCCAAGCGGGGTCAAGTTGAGTTACCACCAGTGAAGGGGGTAGATAAGCTGATGTGGAAAGATGAAGCAGGGGTCAGGCCAACCATGGAACCACAGCATCGAAGCTGATCCCAGGGCAGAGCCAAACAGAACGCAGGTGGGGAGAGAGGTAGGGCAAAGAGACAGCTGAGATGAGCGGAAGCCCTAGAAGCAGGTGGATTGGTCCCGTGCTGACCTCAGGGGCCCAGGCTTAAAATCTGGGTCCTACTTGAAATAACTGGATGATTCCTCCAGGCTTCCTCCTTCACTCCTTCACCAGGCATCTACAGTCAGGCCCCACATATCTTCCCATCCTAATTTTTGGCAACTCCTCAGCCACAAGCCTCGGGTCCCTGCACGTGGGTGACTCATCACGCCCCAAGTGTGCTGGGAGCTCTCTTCCATCACACCTTCCTTAGTTGCTCCCTCTGCTTAGAAATGCCCATCCACACATTCTCTGCCCTGAAACTACTTTTTCTTTGAGACCCAGATTAAATGCCCTTTCCTTTGTGAAGACCCGTCCAGCCCTCTCCACCAGCTGCACCTCCATGCTACAGTGGCGTCCGTTTGCCTTGCTGCCATAGATGTCCTCACACTGTATCCTGAATGTCTAACAAGAACCAAGTGATCATCCATTAATCTGTTCAAGACTTTGCACTTACTCATCACCTTCAATGTACCAGCAGCTGTCCTGGGCACTGGTGACCCAAAATTGAACTACGCCCCCTCAAAAAGCACAGAGTAGTCCCGGCCCATAAATACATAGTTATGATGTCATCGCCAGGTGATAAAATAATGGGGCACATGAAGGCCATGGAGAGGCAGGGAAAGAATCTAAATTTATCAGAGCCATAAAACTCAGTATGTCTCTCCTCTGCTTAAAATCTTCCCATAGCATCCATTTTCACTGAAAAATAAATAGAAACCTTTATTTGCCTTCAAGACGCCCCCATGATCCAGCCCCTCTTTCTCTTGCCCACCTCCTAACCCTCTCCAGGGTCCAGCCCCCCAGCCTTCCACTGCTATTCAGACACACTAAGCCCCTTCTGTCTCAGGGCTGTGCATTTGCTATTTCTCTCCTGCATCACTTCTTAGTCCCACTCCCTCCTGCCCTTCAGCCTCAGCTCAAATGTCACCTCCTCCAAAAAGTCAGGGTCGCCTCCCCTGACCACCCTCTCTAATGTTACCATTGAATACCTACCGCCCTCACGCTCCCTCATGTAAATTGCCCTTGTTTGTTTTCTTGTTTGTGAATTTGCTTGTTGAGTGTTTCTTCCACTCAATTATCAGCTCCAAGGAAGCTTAGTTTTGTTGCTCCTAGAATAAGAGTGGAATAAAAATTTGTGGAACGATGTTGGTATCAAATGGACCAGCTGTACACGTACAGCCTATGTGACCTTCAGCAAGTTAAGTATGTCACTTCTTTTAGTCTAGTCTCTTTACCTGTCAAATGCAGGTAAGAATACTTGCCTTGCAGGGTCGCCGCGAGGGTGAAGATACACTGTTCTTAAATGTCCTGGCCCACAGTACATGTTGGACAGATGCTGAGTGGTTGTACAAGAGGAAGAGAACCAGCAGTCCACCCCTCTGAGCCCTGATACCACGGGCTCTCTGCTCTAGCTTGTTTGACTGTGGATCCTCTACTAAATGGAGAGGGATTTGGGGCTCGGAGGATGAGTGTCAGTTTTAACTACAAACTCTCAGTTGAGGTCCAGCCCTATATTCCCAGCTGTAAACAGTCAACTCAACTCATTAGTTCCACAGTAACCTTAAACTCAGTACGTCCAGTCCAAGCTCACTGCCTTTCCATCACTGCTCCTGCTTGGTCCTCACACATCAACACTAGCAGGCAACTAATGGTACCGGTCAGTCGGTTGGATGACTGATTCGTTGAGAAGTATCTGATAGAAAAATCGTGACCTGAACTAAAACTGAAATTGTAAGCAGCCCAAGACATTGTCCATGGACAGAGGAGGAGGGCTGCGTTCTGCCTGGAGTTTCTCGGTTGTTTCTAGAAGCTCTGGAGCAGAGGGGCCAGAGGAGAAGCCACGGCCAGGCTTCCAAGAAGGACTCACCAAGTTATCCAGTCCCTTTGCATTGAATAGTGCACACAGAGGCCCACTCACTCCCTGTGTCAGTTTCCTACAGCTGCTGTAACAAGTTACCACAAATGCAATGGCTTAGAACAACATAAATTTATGATTTTACAGTTCTGGAGGTCAGAAGTCTGAAATGGTTTTCACTGGGCTCAAGTCAAGTTGTTGGCATGGTTCCAGTCTCCCTCTGACTCTCAGCCTCCCGCCTCCCTCATAGGAGGACCCTGGTGTTGGATTACCTTGGGCCCACTGGGATACTACAGGATAGAGCAGCCTTAATCACATTTGTGAAGTCCCTTCTGCCGTGTAAGGTAACATATTCACAGGTTCTGCGGATTAGGATGTGGACATCTTTGGGAGGCGTCATTATTCTGCCTCCCACAGACCCCGAGCAGAATGAGTTTGGTTTGGGGGCGCCAGGCCGGAACTCAGCTTCCTGCCTCTCTACCGACTCTGCTCAAAGTAAAGCTCAGTGCAGGTTGAGGACTCACTCTCCTTGGTGAGTCGTACGGGCTCTTGGGGCTCAGCCGAGCCACAGAGGAACCAGCCAGGTCAGGCAGCAGCCTCCAGCCTGAAGGCGGGGTCTGAGCGTCTCTGGGAGAATGTGAAGCAGGCGGCCTGGTCACCGCCCTTGTACAGATCCTCAATGTTCACTTCCTGTGAGGGCAAGGCAGCGGCTGCTGGATAAGACTGCTGATTGCGTGTCAGCCCTCGAGGCTGCTGGGGCTTGGCCAACAAGGGACCTGAGACGGTGGCTCTTTCCCCAGGGAATTGCCCTCTGAAGGTTCCGGAGGCAAGGGTCTGGGTGCTGGGTGCAGGGAAGGATGGTGGAAACCTCAACAGGAGGGATGTGTGGACCTGGCCAGAATCCACAGGTGAGCACAGAGATGCCAGAGCACCCTGGAGGCCAGGCCAGGTCTGCAGGGGCCCCCAGAACAGGGTGCGGTCTCTCACCTTCAGCTGCAGGGGAGGCCCCTCCCCTGTCTCCACACATGCCAGGCAACGACCGCCTCCCCGGATCCCCAGGAAGACAGGGAAACTGGTGTGGCCCAGGCCTCTGCTGGGGAGTATGCAGATCATCTCTGGGGGTGGGGAGAAGAAAAGAGAGCCAGGCGACGAGGGGACCCCAGATCACAAGCTCTTGAGCAAGCCAAGGCTCGAACAGGAAGGAGCTGGACCAGGGCACAGCTGGCCTCACCCCTGCATGCATGCTGCAGGGTGAGCTGGGACTCCTACAGGGGTCCTGACCCTTCAGTAGGAAAGGGAGAGCTTGGGGTAGACGGAGCTTGGGTGAGTCCCAGGGCGTCGAGGCCCCAGGTGCTCCTGCACGGCAGTTGTCTGTGGCGGGATCCCCCACCAGGAAGTGGCGGTCTCTCGTGTACAGAGCCTTCTGATCTGCATCCTTAATTCTGAAACAGGAGGCAGTGCTGATGGCCCGCCCCCTTCAGGCACCCCTGAGCCCCACGGCCCTCCCACCCCACACTCTGAAGGACAGCATGGAGAACTAGGGCCTTTTCTTCTTCAGGAGAGAAGTAAGGGTGCTACTCCACCCGAGAGCATGTCCAGATCAGGTCAGGGGCTTCCCTGGTGGCGCAGCGGTTGAGAGTCCGCCTGCCGATGCAGGGGA